AAGGCACATAATAGTTGCTGGGATGGGGAAATGACTTTTGAATTCCTTCAAAAAGTATTTTCAAAAATTATCTGCTGCTTCTTTGTGGTTTTCTTAGGTCACTGGACCTATTTGGGCTGGGGAGAGCAACAGAGTACGTAAGAATTGAAATTCCTTATCATTTTCTTGATCTTACCCACAAAGTACATACTCCCTCTGAATTGTGAAGCTGGATATTCATGCATTGACTTCCATTTCCCTCTCCTCTCCTACTTAAATCTTAGGAGACAGTTACCTGTGGTGGAATGTTATATCCTTTCAGGCTGGTTGTCAAGACAACTTTGTGTGTGTTTATGTGTGTTACAAATTTCAAACCAAAGTCCCAGTCATAATCCTGACAAGATCTCCTAATTTTTATTCCCCAGAGGCAAGTAGTAGCATCAGCCCACTAGTGTAGCCTTCTCCTTTGGTTAAGGAGTGCAGTGAACAGAAGGAGAAGGCTCATTCTAGGATGAACTAGAGTCAGGGTAATTGGTGTGCATTCTGATTTGGCTGGTTTTCTTGACTAGGAGGATATGCAGAACAGACTGCTGTCTCGGGTTTATTGGTCTAGCAAATTGTGAATGCCATTTCAGCCAAAAACCTGCTTTTGTTAAGGAAACAAGAGGCTGAGGACATGGCTTGGCTTTCCTTGAAGCAGCCCAGCTAGGCCACCTTTGTTGTAGAGCTTAGAGAGTGGGCAGCCAGTTCTTTGTGGCAAAACATGTAGCCCTAGGCTAACATTACTGGTTGTGTTACCCATCTCACGGGATCTGGTTGAGTCTGAGTGATTAGATATCCAGTAGGTATTAAGAGGGGCCAAAGTTTGTCCTGTCAGTGGAATTTCTCATGAAGTCTGTGCTTTCTGTGATTTGAATCCTGAGTATTTCTGCTATTAGGAAACTACTCAAAAGCAGCTTGATCCATTTATGCCTGATGTTCCATTAGTGGAACGCTAAGCATGTGGGAGTTATTTATATCCTACTGCTCAAGGTCATCCCCAAGAGTAGGTGACCTCAGGCATAAACGGGTTAACAGAGCTCAGTTAAGTTAAGGTTTTCAAGTAGAAAAAGCAACTAAGCCATGAAAAAAATGTGAATGAATTTTCTTTCCTTTCTTTGGTTGCTGAAGTTCTATTAATAGGTGTGCTGTGGATTTAAAGACCAATCCAGGACTCAATCCAGGAATACCACATACTAGAGGGCCTCATTGTTCTGTATTTCACTGGATTTTGTTTGAGTGCCTGCTGTGTGCTCAGAGGCCCATCTTTGTTTGCCCCAGGTTAGATGACCTTCCCAGCCTACTTTTGCAGGTTTTAATTTTCCATCATTTCCTGTGTGTCCTTTTATTTACCTATCAAATGAACTACAAAACAGTTTCTCAAAAATGTATAGCCTTTCCCACCACTGGGCCTTTAATCATGCCACTGCTTTTATCCAAATTCTAGAAGATATTTCCTCTCTGCCTCTAATCTTCACCTATTAAAAACGAACCAGTTCTTCAAAGCCATCTCCTCCGTAAAGCTTCCTTACTTACCCTATCAGGAAGTGATTTTACTTTTAACTCATAGCACTTGGTTTGTGCTATTTTCATGGTACTAAATGCCTTGTATAGCAATTCAATATTTGTATCTATATATTCTGTCTCCTACTAGACTGACTCTATATTCTGAGTCTTCTGTGTTGTTTGGTCTTGCATGTGTAGGCACTTAGTGAATGGTTGAGTGAATAGGTGTTCCCAGCCTTTTAATTTTCCATCTTTCAAATAGACTTTACCAGGGGCTTTTCAACTTTTACCCTCAAACTGGCTTTCTAGTTCCTTTTTAGGCTAAGCCAACCAAACCTGCACTAGGTTTCTCTCTGTAAAGCCAGGGCTTTTCTTGTCTAGTCGACATGGTGCTGTGGGGTAAATTGTGGAGTCAGTAAGAGATTGTCAGTGACACATTAAAAACACAGTTATTTAATTCAAATTGAAGTGTTACACATTTTCCTGAATTTCCATTTTTAGTTTCTAATCAGGCTTGGTGCCAGGAGGTTTTACTTTTTAGGAAAACTGGAGGTGATTGCCTGTCACTGCTTTTTTCTGTTTCTCTCCTTTGTCTCACTTTATTCCTTAGTATTTTCTCTCTCCTGCCCTCTCCTGCTTTTCATAATACCTTATACTCCCAACCTCTTCTTTCCATGGATGCTTTGTTTCTTAATATTTGCCCTTTATTTCTTTAGTGTAGAAATGTTGTTAGCCTTTAGTTAAGTTGTAGAGTATTCCTCCGTTTAGCCTAGCAAAATAAACAAAAAGCAGAGCATTATTTAGGAGTAATGGGTCACATGCAGGGAGAAAGTAAAACCTATGGATTTGGGTCGTGGGCTTCTAACTCTGGCTGAGCTGCACTCTCCGGCCTCAAAAGCGATAGGATTGTCTGTCGCGGTTGCCTCCTTGGAGACTGAATCTTGGTTCTCTGGGTTGTGTGCTAATACTTTTCCTGCCAGAGTTTAGTAGAACTCTGGTTTTGTCTCCTTTGTTGCCTCTGCCCCCTCATCTGTATGCATGAATAGTCCAGCACTGACTTCTACAGACTTGCTCTTTCTGTGGGTTCGGAAAGAATTAAGTCTGAGTGGCATATGGTTTTGTCTCTGGGTCCTATTTTTCTTGTCTTCAGAACAACAGATGCATCAAGGGCTAAAACCAGTGCTTCCAAAGTCTCTTTTTCCTTGTATGTCATCAGAATGCTTTGTAAGCAGAATGCTTTGCATCCCTGTTGTTTGCTTTTGTTTTCAAGCTTTACTACTCCTGCCCTGGTCAGTGGACTACTTGCTCCAAATGTCAAGTATTACTAATAATTGTTCCTGACCATTTGAACATTAGCTTCTTTCTCATGTTGATATTTTTCCTCCTGGGGTTCTAATCCCTCTCCTCTCCTTTTTTTATGTTCACATGTAACCATAAACTGAAATAGGAAAAGCTCATAAGATCATCTTACCCCATCTCCCATCTGTACCCAGAAATATTATCGAGAGTCCAATGCTCAGATTTTCTTCCTTATCTATAAAACCCACATGTTTGTGCTCTGTCTCTTTTACTGGAACTCTTATCCTACCGGGTTGTCTAACAGAAGCCAAGGGGTCATTTCCCTATTATCTTCCATATGGCCCTATGTTTTACAATTCTGTCTGGAATTTTCTGTTTCTAGTTTTAACTCTTTTCTGTTTCCACTGTATAGATGCAAGTCCTTATTTCCTGCCTGAGCAATTGTAAAAGCCTAACCTTACGGTCTTCAGGAGGCTTCCACTGCCCACATTGCTACAAGATTATCTTTTTTTTTTTGAGACAGAGCCTTGCTCTGTCACCCAGGCTGGAGTGCGGCACAATCTTGGCTCATTGCAACCTCCACCTCCTGGGTTCAAGTGATTCTTCCGCCTCAGCCTCCTGAGTAGCTAGGATTACAGGCACCTGCCATCATGCCTGGCTAATTTTTGTATTTTTGCAGAGATGGGGTTCCATCATGTTGGCCAGGCTGGTCTCGAACTTCTGACCTCAGATGATCCACCCGCTCGGCCTCCCAAAGTGCTGGGATTACAGGCGTGAGCCACTGCGCCTGGCCAAGATCATCTTTTAAAATTAATAACATGAGTTCATTTTCTGCTAAAAGTATCTCCATTTTGAGATGGTGAACATTCCTTTTCCTCATTGTGAACCAAATAGGAACTTGTCAAGAAAGGACATGTGGAACCCTGTTAATCATACACGTAAGGGTATGGTGTCAGATACGACTTCCTCTTTGTAAAATAGGCTACAAAGCACTCTTAGGTTGAGCTCCCTTTCCAAGCACAGCGGTGATTTGTAAGTGTGGTCTTTTTAGCTAATTTTAAGAAAAAAACTGTAGCCAGTCAGGTGCTGGTCTGAAAGGCAGAAATAATTCTATGAAATTGTAGTCACTGCTGTTAGATAAACTTGGCTGCATTGTCAGCAAGATCCCATTGGCAGCACATATGTTTTTTCTTTTCTCAGCCCATCCCCTGGATGGGAATTCTGAGCCTAGGGTGTAGGTGCTTGACAGGAATTGTTAGAAAAACCCAACACTGCAGCAGCACCATAAGAGTGCTACTGTTCTCAGCTGCATCTGGAGCCTTTGACTTGATTTCCAAGCCTTGGCTTTGACCCTCCTGATTTCCAGGACCAGCTTCTGATGTTGGACCTTATTTGGTACAGTCTGTATGTTTAAAAGTCTGAAAACACCAAGACATTAAACAAAAGTTTTGTTGTTTATTTTCCCAAGATATGAAAAGCTAATTTTTTTTTTGGAGACGGAGTCTTGCTCTGTCACCCAGGCTGGAGTGCAGTGGCGCGATCTTGGCTCACTGCAACCTCCGACTCCTGGGTTCAAGCAATTCTCCTGCCTCAGCCTCCCGAGTAGCTGGGATTACAGGTGAACACCACCACGCCCAGGTAATTTTTTGTATTTTTGGTAGAGACAAGGTTTCATCATGTTGGCCAGGCTCGTCTTGAACTCCTGACCTCAAGTGATCCACCTGCCTCAGCCTCCCAAAGTGCTAGGATTACAGGTGGGAGCCGCCACACCTGGCTGAAAAGCTAATTTTTTAAACCTCTGCTCCCTTCCCCTTTCTTTAATAACAGAGAACCAGACTGTATTTGTGACATTTAAAAGCAGTTTTTAATTATGGTTATGATAGTTGGAGAAGCAGAATTCCAAAGAATTCTGCAGTGGGAAAATGCAACCTGGAACTCCTCTAAGAATAAGCACTAAAATTAAACTAAGTATACTATCTCCTGTGATAAAGAAGAGAGACTTGTGGGTATCAATTGAGACCGTTCTGCTCATGGCTCTGAGGTCACTGGGGTCACGTGAAACTTAGCTTGCTTTTGTTCTCAAGATCCAGACTTGTTACTACTAAGTTAGAAGCAGAAATAATTCTGAAGAACTGAATAAAGCTGGGGTGCTTTCATTGAATGTGCTTATTCCATAGCTTTTGAAGACCCTGATAGTGCCGTCGATGACCGAGATAGTGACTATCGCAGTGAGACCAGCAACAGCATCCCACCTCCTTACCATACAACTTCCCAGCCCAACGCTTCTGTGCACCAGTTTCCTGTGCCGGTGGGATTACCGCAGCAGCTGCTACTTCAAGGCAGTTCCCGGGACTCTTGTAATGATTCTATGCAAAGTTATGACTTCGATTATCCTGAGCGGCGGGCCATCAGGTGGGTATTGGGCACAAAGTACTTTCTCTTCGTAATATCCAGGTCTCATGATGCAATTGGAAACAAGAATTTGGATGCTTTAACCTTAAGAGGTAGCGGAAGGGTAGCAATATCACAGGCCAAACTGCAGTCATTTTGTGTAGATTGTTAGTTTTTTTTTCTCTTCCACATGTTTATACATTGCCATAAGGAATGTTTATACATTGCCATAAGGAATACTTATTTTTATGATCAGTGATTCTCAACTGATCAGGGCAGGCCCACTTGGGGTGTATCTGCCCCACTTCCTGACTCAGTGAGTTTGCTATACCCTTCGCCAAGATTAAAAACAGAAAAATCACAGATTGGATAGTCCTTCTTGCCTAAATATTTCCCTGGGAACTTTAGAAGAAAACCAATATGATTTCTTATAGCAGATTAAGTATTTTTACTGGAGGCCAGGCGCGGTGGCTCAAGCCTGTAATCCCAGCACTTTGGGAGGCCAAGACAGGCGGATCTTGAGGTCAGGAGATCGAGACCATCCTGGTTAACATGATGAAACCCCGTCTCTACTAAAATATACAAAAAACTAGCTGGGCGAGGTGGCGGGCGTCTGTAGTCCCAGCTACTTGGGAGGCTGAGGCAGGAGAATGGCATAAACCTGGGAGGCGGAGCTTGCGGTGAGCTGAGATCTGGCCACTGCACTCCAGCCTGGGCGACGGAGCAAGACTCCGTCTCAAAAAAAAAAAGTATTTTTACTGGAACTTAATTTTAATTTTATTTTATTTCTAAAATATATAAAACAATTATGTGGTTTAAAAAATGTTAAGGTACAATACAGCATAAAGAGTTTCCCACCCACACTTACCTTCCTGTACCCCATCTTCTTCCTGTTTCATAATTCCCTTCCTACTGTTGTTTGTTATGTATCCTTCCTTAGACTATTGTCATATATTTATGAGTATAAAAGCAAATACATACATATGTGCTCTCCCCTGCCCCGATTAAAAAAAAAATTCAGACTTAAAGAAAATTTAGAGAAGTAATTCAGTGAACACCCATATTCATGTTGCCTAGATTTACCAGTTGTGTTAACATTTTACCACATTTGCTTTATCTCATTCTCCCTAATATGTATTCATATACACATACATTTTCTCTGAACCACTTACAAATAAGTTGCAGATATTGTATTACTTCATCAGAAAGTATTTCAGCATGTTACTCCTAAGAAAAAGAACTTTCTCTTATATAACCTCAATATCATGATCACATTCAAGAAGTTTAATGATGCAATGTTATTATCTAATGTTTAGACCATATTTAAATTTCCCCAGTTATCTCCATAATGTTCTGTATGTATATTTGTTCTTTTCTGGTCCAGGATCCAATCCAGAACTGTGGTGCATTGCATTTGGTTTTCATGTTTCCTTAGCCTCCTTTAATTTAGCAAAAATTTCATTACTTTTTGTTTTTTTGGTCTTTTAAGAAGCTTTTTTCTTTTTCTTTTTCTTTTTCTTCTTCTTTTTCTTTTTCTTTTTGAGACAGAGTCACACTCTGTCTCCCAGGCTGGAGTGCAATGGGGTGATCTTGGCTCACTGCAACCTCAGCATTCCCTGTTCAAGTGATTCTCTTGCCTCAGCCTCCCGAGTAGCTGAGACTACAGGTGCATGCCACCATGCCCGGCTAATTTTTGTATTTTTGTTAGAGATGGGGTTTCACCATGTTGGTCAAGCTGCTCTCCATCTCCTGGCCTCAAACGATCTGCCTTCCTCTGCTTCCCAAATGGAATTACAGGCGTGAGCCGCCGTGCCTAGCCTAAGACACTTTTTTTTTTTTTTTTGAAGAGTGCAGGCCAGTTGTTTTGAGAATGCCCCTTAGTTTGTTTTTGTCTGATTGTTTCTTCATGTTTAGAATCAGGTTAAACATTTTTGGCAAAAATGGTGGATGTTTCCTTCACATGCATTCAGGAAGCACATACTTTGTCTTATTATTGGTGATGTTTAGTTTGATCTCATGGTTAAGAAATTTGGTATATGCTGTATTTCTCCAGTGTAAAGTTACCTCTTCTTCATAATTAATAATATCTGAAGTGATACCTGAGACTGTATCAATACTCTGTTTCCCCAATAGTCTTTTACTCAATGATCTTAGCATCCATTGATCCTTGCCTGAATCAGTTATTTTATTGATTGGAGGTTAGTTTTCAAAAAATCATTCCAATTTAGCTTATCCTTTTAGTTTCTGAAATTCACTAGACTGGCTAGGTGCAGTGGCTGATGCCTATAATCCCAGCACTTTGGGAGGCAAGGCAGGAGGATCACTTGAGTCCAAGAGCTTGAGACCAGCCTGAGAAATATAGTGAAACCACATCTCTACAAAAAATAAACAAAATTAGCTGGACTTGGTGGTGCATGCCTATAGTCCTAGCTACTTGGGAGGCTGAGTTGGGAGAGATTGCTTGAGTCTGGGAGGTTGAAGCTATAGTATGCCAAGATTGCACCACTGCACTCCAGCCTGGATGACAGAGCAAGACTCTGTATCAGTCAATCAATAAAAAATTCACCAGACCATAGGATGATCTCCTTTTCTTGCCTACCTCACCAAACTGCTACATGGTGAGTTTAGAGACAGGGTCTTGCGTTGTTGCTCAGTTTGGTCTTGAATTCCTACGCTCAAGTGATCCTCCTGCCTCAGCCTCCTAAAGTGCTTGGATTACAGGTGTGAGCCATTGCACCTGGCCTTCTGGAAGATTTTTAGTGACTAAGTGTCTGCTTTGATCTTGCTTCTGTTTCCTAAATGAATGCTTTGGATGTTAGATCTATAAAGAACACACTGACCTAATAAGCTCCTAGCCTGTAGATTCTTTCTCCATCACTATCTTGGTACATAGAAGAAGGCAGTCTGCAACCTAACTGAAAGAAAGGTCAGACTGTCTTCAGTATTCATAAGTCTCACATGTAGCTTCTGCTGCTATAATCAGTATAGGGAAAGATTTTCTTTTTACTGTGATCCTCAATGCATATAGCTTTTAGATTTCACAAACAGCAAATCGTAATGCCTTAGGCTGGGCGTGGTGGCTCACACCTGTAATCCCAGTAATTTGGGAGGCTGAGGCGGGTGGGTCACCTGAAGTCAGGAGTTCGAGACCAGCCTGGCCAACATGGTGAAAACCCACCTCTGCTAAAAATACAAAAATTAGCTGGGCCTGGTGGTGGGAACCTGTAATCCCACCTACTCAGGAGGCTGAGGCAGGAGAATTGCTTGAACCCAGGAGGCGGTGGTTGCAGTGAGCTGAGATTGTGCCGTTGCACTCAGCTTGGGCAACAAGAGCGAAACTCCGTCTCAAAAAAAAATTATAATGCCTTAAATGATTTGTTATTTTTTGTAGTATAACAAAGTTTGACTTCTGCTGATAGTAAAAAAATGTTTTATATGTATTTTTTTCTTATTAAAAGAAATATGTTTGACTATATTCTTGGCTATACATCCTCAAATATAACTTTCAGAAAGTTAACAGCTTGACTTCTTTTTAGACTAAAAATTTATCAGCAAATTTCGGTTTCTTGAAATTCCTTGATATGTTTTTATGGTATACTTTAATATTGCAAATACATTCTAGATATTGGTACAACATGTTTAATTTTTTTGTTTGTTTCTTAGAAAAATAAAAGAATTCTAAAAAGCTCACCAATGAAAATTTGCAAGTTGAAGCATTTAAAAATTGATATTATAGCTGTTCTTTTTCTGATATGGAATAAGCTATTTGGCTACATTGATATAATATTTAAGAACATGTGGATTTCTTTTTCATATTTTTTTAGTCTGAATGCTTTTTGTCACATTGGCAATTTTATTATTCTAGTCTTCTCATTGAACATGTATTAAATCTTATAACTTCTTTCTTCCTTTTCCCTGTCTCTTCCTTTTTCTTTGCTTTATTGTTCCTCCAATTTTATCCCTTCACATCAGACAAGGGTCACGGGCTAAAGATGAAAAAATTAGGATTATTTCAGCCTTCTCTGATGTTGACTATGAAGAGCAAGAAGATATACATAAGGAGATAGAGGGGAAAATATCACAAGAGTGTCTAGAAAATAATAACATAAACTTGAAGGAAGCAGAGGTAAAAGAAATTAGAACCCTTTCAAAAATGGATAAATACTACAGCCAACAGAAACAACCAAAGTATAAGAACAGGAAAAAGACACCACCTCAGAGCCAACAGACAGAATTCTCTACTGAATTTAAGGTTGAAGCATCTGTTTTCTCCAGGTATCCTCAAAAATATGATACACTAGATAGACGAAGAAAAAAGAAACCCTTATACAATTATTTTGAAGACACTGAAAGAAGGCATTATGATGAGAGATCTGAAACTAAGACTAACTACAAAAGTACATATTCTAATATTGAAAATTGTACCCTTTGCCATACTGAAAATAAGAAACAAAATATGGGGTACCCAGTTTTGTACCCCTACAAAAATGGATTTGTGGTTAAGAGTGGCCTGCAGCGCATTAAGTTGGAAAGTCATGATTATCATCTGTCCAGTTGTTTAAGACACTGTGAAAAGTCATCTGGCTCAAACCAGCATGTCACTAATTTTACCTCATTAGATGTTCTTGAAGATTCTACTAGTAGTACTTCTGATGAACTTCTGGGTTCCCCCATTTCTGATAAGCAGGAAAATTTACAGTCACCAACATGGCATTCATCCAGTGTCCACCATCTTGGAGATTTTCCTGAAGAATATTATGTAGCAAATTCAGCATTGCCATTACAAAGGATGAATTGTGATGCAAAAACACTTGGAGATCTGTCTGGGTGCTCTATAGAAGAGATAACCCCTTCCTCTATTGAGGAGCCCAAGGAGGACCATATTGATACAATGGATGAGCTTCAGTGTTTGGTAGAAACTGTGTCAGAATATTTAGCAGAGAAGGAAGAGGAGATTAATAGATTTGGTTCACTTTCAAAAACTAAAAAATCACATAAACAAAATAGTACTGTTGATGCAG